GTAAGTCCTGGTCAGGGGCGGACTGACAACTCATGGGGCCCCCAGGCAATAGGAGATCATGGGGCCCCTGTGTCCTTGTCCACACTGAAAGCACACCCAAAAAAGCCTATAAAAGGTATCAGGGGCTTTTCATGGGGCCCCCTACTGACCCCGGGCTCTCGGGCAATGCCCGAGTGCTCGAATGGTCAGTCCGCCCCTGGTATATCTAGTGTATATTGTACAGGCATTAGAATAGATTGAGCTTGATGGTCGTTGTGTCCCCTTTAATATTACTTATTATTTTTCTGCTGATAATATGCCTGTAAAGTCTTATATACATTTACAGGAGTGTCCATGTGTTTATCAGCTGCTATGAATTTGCTTTTTCTCGGAAAGGATTACACAAAACTACTGCTCAGGATGAGGCTGCTGTTTGTATGGGAGCGTAAATAAGAACATTACTGTGTCACATGCAAAGTCACAATATCTGCAGTATGTATGTTTGGATTCTAACTAGCATGTCGTCTTTTACAGCTTTTTAACTTATCCAAGAAAAGACATGATATCCGCAAGCTCAACCCAAAGGTACAAATATTGGTTATTTGATACATGTGCAGTCAATACATGTGCAGACCAGGTCATAGTTGGCCCACTGAGTCCAAGGTCACAGTCAGATCTCATAGATACAGACATTCAGCACCTAGGCACTCCACCTTTCCTCACTTTCGCTTCCAAGCATTCAGTATCTAAACTGGTAACTGCTGGTCTCCGGAGTTGGGGAGGACGCTTACACAAGACAGTTATTGGTTTTAGTTAGTGTGTCCTGTTATAGAAAAAATGAGTGTTCTGTGAAAGAAATGTAAGTCACAAGTTAGTAGGACCTCACTTACAACTGCACAGTAGCTAAATCCTGTTGACCACTTGGCCTACAAAGAAATCAGGTCTATTATAATCTGTTATTTGATTACATGCAAACTCTGCTGCTTGGTGTCTCAGAGCAGTATCATCATACATGAGAAAAGTTTAACACTTTCCAACTTTATGTCACAGGTTCAGGATTTCTTCTGGCCAGACTGCCATGCACCTCCACTAGACATCATCTGTTCTATCTGTAAAGCCATAGAGGCCTGGCTGAACTCACATCCTCAACATGTTGTGGTCCTTCACTGCAAGGTATGGACTGAGCTAATTACACATGAGGATTAGGTCACTAATGATTGTACTGAAATGTGTAGACATGAACGGGTGCTTGATTCTTCAGATGTATAACTCTTATTCTCTTACTCTCTATCTGTGTGTCAGGGAAATCAGGGGAAGACAGGAGTAGTCATAGCATCCTACATGCACTACAGCAAGATCTCTGCGAGGTATGTTTCAACTTTATGTTTTTTCTGTGGTTACATATCAGGGTACAGCTAATCATATTCAGAACTATATACATGACCTGTTCACACAATCATTTTAGATGGGACTCATTACACAGTTTCTTATGATGTGTCCTGTGGTTTGGAAGTTTACCCTTTTACAATACGATGGAGCAGAGGAAAGGCTCAAAGTACAATTAGTGGGTACCAGCACTGGGACCCCAGGTTCAGAGAAAGCAAATATCTTCCCTGTTACTTTTGGGGAAATATCTGCCAGTCTGTGGCCATCATATGAGAACAATAAACCAAACAGGCAGTACAGTGGGTAAGTATCTAGCAATTCTGCCTAGCAGTCCTAGGACTTGGTTTGAATCCTAACCACTGCATTACCTGCCTGGAGTAAGCATGTTCTCCCTGAGCTTGCATTGGTTTGCTCCCTCACTCCAAAGACATGCTTGTAGGTGAATTGGCCCTAGTATGTGTATGTATGACTCTGACTGGTTGCAGATTATTAAAAGAGATTTTCCTCCTGTGCAGGACTCTTACTAGAAAAGCAGAAAGGACATTTGTCCTGGGTCCTTCAAGATACAGTACCCACAGGTTTGAGATGTCATATCTGTAGGAGAACTCTGATCCCTTCTGTCCTCTTTATAAACTAATGCCAACCTTTTGCTCCCAGATCCCCTTCCATTTAAACAAAGGGGCAGCACAGTGGCTAAATGGTTAGCACTTCCACCTGGTAGTACTAGGGTCGTTGGTTCGAATCCCAACCACAGCACCACCTGCCTGGAGTTTGCATGTTCTCCCTGTGCCTGCATGGGTTTCCTCCAGGTACCACAGCTTCCTCCCACACTCTAAAGACATGCTGGTAAGTTAATTGGTTCCTGTCTAAATTGTCCCTAGTATGTATGAATGTGAGTTAGGGACCTTAGATTGTTACACTCCTTGAGGGTTATGGACTGATGTGAATGCACAATATACATATATATGTAAAGCGCTGCATAAATTGACAGCACTATATAAGTACCTGAATACATAAATAAATAACATCTCTCCTCCACTGTACATTGATATAAAATTATAAGGTCAGCAGATAAAAATGTATGGAGCACACCGTAGGTGGTTATCCTTAAGGTACTTATATCATGCATGCATCCTAAACCCTTTGGACAGCTTTGGAACAGCCAAACACATTCCCGTATTTGTAAAATATGTTTATGTTGTTGGGGCTGTTTGTGGTTTATATCCAGAGCAGTAACTGGCAACTATCAAATATGCTCATTACTCCTCTATCCAGCATGAAAACATAATATTGAGTGTAATTTAGTGGGAGGAATGGCATCCCATAAGTGGATGTGATTGTACAGTTTAATGAGATGATTCTGTATAAAAGATTACACATGTCAGAGCTAATTCTGTTAAAAGCATCACTGAAGTTATACAGTATTCTTGCCTGCTCCTCTATTTGATCTCTGTATAAAATAAATTAGGCAAAGTGAAACTTTACCCATAACAACTTGATAAAAAATAATGTCCTTTAGCAAGGAAGATACATTCCACATTAATAGTTACGCTACCAAACTTTGTGTGCTGTAAATTGCCTCCAGCATTGTGCCTGTTTTCTTCTTGCCGAAGGCTGCCATTTTGCTGAAACCCAGAGTCCTGAGCAGAAGTAAATCTTTAGGCTGTCAGCAGATCAGCCTGTACATTTTTGGCACAGTGCTGAAAAATAGAGCATGTGCAGAACAGGGTGAGACCGTGTATTACTGTATTTTAAATACTATAGGCACTTATAAAAAATATCCGCAAAAGGGGCCAGCCTAAAGTGATCTAGCAGGACTTAATTTCTGACTAAAGTTCCACTTTAATAATGTTCTATAAAAGCAATGGATGTTCCTGACTTTTAGCCTTCATGCACACTTGACGTTTTTTACACCTGCTGTTTTTGGCGTTTGACGTTTTTTTCTACAGTCAATAAACTCCCCAGCATGTTATCCTATGTGTCCATGCACACACTGTAATCAACGGTTTTTTGGCAGGAAAAAAAACCCCAAAACTAGTGGGTTTCTAGAGGAGTTTTTTAGCTGTAAAAACGCTCTAACGCTGAAAAACACGATAAAACGCTGCAAACCAGTGTTTTTGGACATTTCTTTTAACAAAATAAAAAATTTTTTGGTAAACAAAATCATTATAAACTGCAAACGCTGGAAAACACTGCTAATCGTGGCAAAATGCAGCTAAATGCTAATGCAAAAAACCTGAAAAACTCACATTTGTAACGTGACTTTACACAGCTAACGTTACCAGCGTTATCAAAACGTCCAGTGTGCATGAGGGCATAGCATTTGCTTATGATTATGTGTTCATAATGTTTCTGAAATTTCCGTTTCTGAAATCTGAAAGTGGTAACATCCCCCAGCGTGTGGACCTCATCCTTTACAATGCAACAGATCAGAGGAAAGACTCAAAGTGTTACTTTTGGGGAAATATCTGCTAGTCTATGGCTATCATATAAGAACAACAAACCAAACGGGCAGCACAGTGGCTAAATGGTTAGCGCTTCTGCCTAGCGACACTTGGGTTTTCTGTCTACTTGGGTTTTCGGCCTACCCCAGTGCAAACTCTCCCCGCTTCAGACCATCCTGAACTCAGCTGCCAGACTCATCCACCTCACCAGCCGCTCCACCTCTGCCACCCCCCTCTGCCTCTCCCTCCACTGGCTCCCTATCGCCCAACGCATCAAATTCAAACTACTCACTCTGACCTACAAAGCCATTCACAACACTGCCCCTAACTACCTCACCGACCTGATTCCCAAGTACCACCCTACCCGTACCCTTCGCTCTTCACAGGACCTCCTTCTATCTTGCTCCCTGGTCTCCTCCTCACACGCACGTCTGCAAGACTTCTCCAGGTCCTCCCCCATCCTCTGGAACTCACTACCCCAATCCATCAGACTGTCACCTTCCCTCCTCACCTTCAGGCGCTCCCTGAAAACCCACCTCTTCAGGGAAGCCTACCCCACCCTCACCTAACTGCTGCTCTCCTTCATTCCTCCTACCACTCCATCCCCCACAGCCACTTCCTCCTGTACCACTACCCCCTCCCTCCCAGATTGTAAGCTCGAAAGAGTAGGGCCCTCTTACCCCTCGTGTGCTGTTCGTAGCTGCTGTAATGTTTCATGTATTGTCCCCCCCCTCTATTGTACAGCGCTGAGCAAACCCTTTGGCGCTATATAAACTCAATGTAATGTAATGTAATAATGTCTGATTCCCAACCACGGCACTACCTGTCTGGAGTTTGCATGTTCTCCTTGTGCTTGTGTGGGTTTCCTCCGGGTCAATCTGTTTCCTGCCACTCCAAAGACATGCTGGTCGGTTAATTGGATCCTGTCTAAATTGGCCCTAGTATGTGTATGTAAGAATGTAAGTTAGGGACCTTAGATTGTAAACTTCTTGAGGGTTAGGGACAGGGGCGGACTGACAACTCATGGGGCCCCCGGGCAATAGGGGATCATGGGACCCCTGTGTCCTTGCCCAAACTCAAAAAAGCCTATGAAAAAGGTACCAGGGGTATCTCATGGGGCCCCCTACTGACCCTGGGCCCTCGGGCAGTGCCCGAGTTTCCAAATGGTCAGTCTGCCCCTGGTTAGGGACTGATGTGAACAGGGGCGGACTGACCATTTGGAAACTGGGGCACTGTCCGAGGGCCCGGGGTCAGTAGGGGGCCCCATGAGATGCCCCTGGTACCTTTTTCATAGGCTTTTTTGAGTTTGGGCAAGGACACGGGCCCCATGATCCCCTATTGCCCGAGGGCCCCATGAGTTGTCAGTCCACCCCTGGATGTGAATGTACAATATATATGTAAAGTCCTGCGTAAATTGACAGTGCTATAAAAGTACCTGTAATGAAAAAAATGAATCAATACTATAGAGCCATTATATTATTTTTATTCTACTGTATTGCAGTATTTTCTGTCTGTAGTCTGTATTTTCTGTATTTTTTGTCTACAGGCACATTTTCATCTCTTAGCTTTAGTTTGTGAATAATTTTCACCTGCCATGCTGTGTTTCATGATCGTACCTCTCCCTTTTTCCCCTGATTGTTAATCACATGCCTGGTTTCCGTTCCTTTTCTGTAGTGTGGATCAGGCTCTTAGCACTCTGGCCATGAGAAAGTTTTGTGAAGATAAGGTCTCTTCATCACTTCATCCATCCCAGCGCAGGTCAGTGAAGGGAAGCTGGTAACCGTACTGAACCCATAACTCCTGTCATTATTCCTAGCTCGCAGGCAGTGCCTTAGTCTTGCATTGATGTTTTTTTAGCATAGAGCTGGGAAATCAGGAGCTTATCCTGCTACAGCAGAGAAATACTCCATTGCCCTGTATCCTGTTATCATGAACTGCAGAAAGCTTTTTACTGATCTTATTTCCTGTGAAAGGATTTGGCAGAAATACAGTTTCACTTGTTTCCCAGCAGGCTCGACAGGGAAAATTCTTGTTAAACCAGTATGTGGGATGGCGCTGAGCACCTTGCTGCTGAGGGACTACGAGACCAAGACACCCAGCCATCCTAGGCGCTTTAGACCTGTTCACATTTAAGCGTTTTTCAGCTCCAAGCTCAACGCTCAAAAATGCACAAGTAAAATCCAATTATTTGCAATGGCCCCTGTTCACAATTGAGCATGTTGTCAACTGTAGCAAAATGCCTGTTGCACAAAAAAGTACTTGCGCTACTTTTCAGGCAGATCTGAGAGTTTTGTCCTCATAGGTTTGAATAGAAAATGCTTGAACAGTGGGAATGAGCGTTTTTTTCAAGTGTTTTTTCAGGCGTTGTCATCTCATTATGTTCCTATTGGCCACAGCAAAAACGCCTAAATGAAAGACGCCTGAAAAAACACCTAAAATACTGTATATGCAAATCTGGTAAAAAAAACCCCTCAAAAACACCTGGAAAAAAAGCTTGAAAAAACACCTGAAAAACACTCAGCTAAGTGTGAATGGAGCCTAAAGGTGGGAATACACGGTTAGAAAATCGACCGACCCGTCATCCTACATCCGAGAGGCGTTCTTTCGTTGGTCGAAATCGTGGCCCACATTAACCAATCTAATAGTTCATCGGGCAATACGTAGTGTTGATGTTTTCCGTACAAATGGAAGTGATGCGGTGTGCGTGTGACCTTATAGCCACGCCCTTCCGGCCAGAACAAGCGATATACACAACAATTATCAGCAATGAGTATAATATAGTTTATTACATTACCTATATACATAAATAATGATACATAAAATATAATATACATGATTCTGGTTTTATTATCCCATTCGGCCAATCTACTTTTAACATTTGGATTTTTCGTTCGTGTTTACAAAGATTCCTTGGACATAAACATCCGGGTCATCTTCTGTTTCCGCTCTTGCGTGATAACGCTTGACAGATTTTTTTCGTATGTCATACCACCGCATAGAAAAAACGGTCGTTCGTATGCAAAACGACAACATTTTTCACTGTTTGTTCAACCGGATTTTTTTGTTCACAATATCGTTATCAGTTAAAACATCCTGCTCATCAATGAAGAAAAAATTGTTCGATCAGTGGTTCCATGAAATTTTTTGGATGATTTTCTTATCGTGTGTACGGGGCATTAGTCCCTCAGCAGCTGTGGGAACACATGTTTCATATAGCTGATTAATAGATCAAACACCCACGTAACTTTCATAGCACACAAACACACTCTGCCTATGTTTAATAAGGCTAAGGGCAATGTACAAATACATGTAACTCACAGTAAATATGCAGCAACTATTATTCTGATGAAAGCTGACATCTGACTACTATCAGCTTATGCATTTTGCAGATCATTTCTTTATTTCCTTGGCTTTTTCTGTGCAAAGTCTTAAAGATTTTAGTAGCAAGATTGTGAATTACCATCGTATAAGAAATATTGCTTCTATACTGGATATGTTGTATAATCTACAAGTGCAAACAGAATACATACTTCAGCCTGGAAGACGTTCATTGGCTTGGTTGTAAATTTTGGGTTTGAGAGAAAGATAGGTCAGCTTGGTGGTTAACCATGGGGAAGTCACTCTACATACACTGATATTCAACCTATTGTAAATTGAATGATTATTCTTAACACATGCTATCCATAGAGCTTAGGTGATTTTTATGTAATTTCTGCAGGATTAGATAAATTTCCCTGTTTCTATAAGACTATATAGGGGCAAGGGCTAATAACCAGATTGGAAACCTCATCCAGTGTTCTACATTTTTCCCCATTAGCAGTGCCGGGACAAGATCATCTAGCACCCAGGGCAAAGATGCTAAACGACGACCCCCCCCCCCCCCAAATGTATGAGCATTGTGGGTCAAAAAAATTCTCCTCCCTTCCCACCCAAAAAAAATTTAAGCACTATAGGGGGACTCCCCATGTGAAGGAGGCCTTAGGTATGTTTTTTGATACGTGATAAACGTGATCACAATGTGTGATTTAGAAACATCACATGTATATCTGTCAGTCAGACAGTTCTTGTCTTGTTTGCCAATTTCACCAGCAAGTGTGCATGTTCAGTAATGATTCCAAACATAAATATAAAATGATCTTGTTATGAATATATACTTACATAGTTAGTCTGGCTGGAAAAAGACAAAAGTCCATCCAGGTCAACCATAAAAAAAAAAGTTCTACTCCTATACCCACAGTTGATCTAGAGGAAGGAAAAAAAAACAGCAAAGCATGATTCAATTTGCTCCTGCAGGGAAAAAAATTCCTTCCTGATCCCCGAGAGGCAATCAAATATTCCCTGGATCAACGTTACCTATAAATGTTCTGTGTATATATGTCTATAAATATGTCTCTAAACAGTCAACTGTGCGTGATAATGGAAATGTCGTGTTGCCTATTTGCAGTAGTTTAGATTGGTGTTTCCTTGTCAGCGAATTTATGATTTACTAACTGTTTTCTTTGTACACAGATATATCAATTACTTTGGAGGTTTGCTGTCTAGCACCATAAAGATCAGCAGTGATATGTTGTCCCTGCAGTGTGTTTTACTGCCAATCATTCCTACACTGCAAACAGATGGGGGTAAGCATTCACTTCCACATCTGCCCTCAAACTGGACTCATACATGCCCATACAGACAAGTAGTGTAAAAGGGCTGAACAACCTATAGCACATTAACTAAATTAATAATTTTCTGATCGTTTATTTTAAGTAGAGATGCAGAACACTTAGTATGTGGCTAATAAGGATGAGCTCCAGTTTGGTCCAAACTTTGGTTTGGACTGAACCTATCAGGAAGCTGTCACTCCCTCCCACTGCCATCCAATCAACTATAGCCAGGGCATTCCATTCTCTACAGCTTCAGGTACATAAAGAGATGAGGATCCCCATGACATCATTGGCTTAATGTGGCCACATGGATTAAAAATGCATTGCAGAAAGCAGTGGAGCATGGGGGCAAAATAACCAACAATCCACCTTGTTGTCATACCTTAATGTTCAAGGGTTTGTTCAAGCTTTTAGACCTCAATAAAGAGACAGGACTTGACACAAGCATACATAGTCTGTCCTCTACAGCAGAGGTCCCCAACACACACAATACTGGTCTGTGGCCTATTAGGAACCACGCCACACAGCATGGGAATGGAGAGCTGCTGGAGGTAGGGGGCAGCTGTGTTTTTTTTGTACAAATTTTATATGAAGTTTGCAAAATGTATACTTCATTCATGGTAATGTATAGCAGGCAATGCCCTGCTGTACATTGCCATGAGGATTGGCACGGTACGCCATGATAAAATGCAGCATGTCTGCATTTTATCGCAGTAGGCAGTGTAAATGGGACAACTGTTTCCCATGTGTCCTTACGGTGATAGTCATTTTACAATGCATTAAAACACCTGTCACTGCATACCATGTGAATTAGCCATCTGGTGACACCCCCATCCATGGAAAAATTGTCTTCTACAAAACCAGTCCCTGGTGCCAAAAAGATTGGGGACTGCTGCTCTACACTCAGTTTTATGTAGATTCTGGTTGGACTAAAGATGTTTTAATAGGAATATTTCACTAGACAAAGAAAAATTAAAATTGTGGCAGTTCATAATTAAAATAACACAAACCTCCATATCACTCACTGGCTTGATGGTAAAAATTAGACTCTGGATTGATGCTGTTGTATAATATTAAACTGTTGCTTGTCATGGACATTTTGAACCATACAGATCAGGGGCGGACTGACAACTCATGGGGCCCCCGGGCAATAGGGGATCATGGGGCCCCTGTGTCCTTGCCCAAACTAAACAAATCCTATGAAAAAGGTACCAGGGGCATCTCATGGGGCCCCCTACTGACCCCGGGCCCTCGGGCAGTGCCCAAGTTTCCAAATGGTCAAACCGCCCCTGATACAGATACTGTAGAGAGTTTCTGGTTCTTGAGAGAGTTGGAGACATGAAAAGAAAGGGAAATCAATTATTTTCCAAAGCTAGTCACTCAGCAGTAGCAGCATGAATTCAATAAGTAAAAGTGATTTCAATATTGTCTCATTTTGCTGTATAACACTGGTCATGCTGCATGGGGGGCAGTTTAAAGTATATTTAAAGGCAGAACTTTATTTTTTCATTTTGGATATAGTAGGGAAGGGTTAAACCATTATCATTTTTTGCCATCTGTGTCTCATTAGAAAGATTTTTCTTCACTTCCTGTCCTGTAAACAGGCAGTGAGGGGATATCTTTGCAGTGTAAGGGAAATCTCCTCTTAAAAGGCAGTCACATGAATAAGTGTCCCCATTGGAAGATTTCCCCTCTTGTTCTGGAGGCAACCCAGAATTTTGCATTTAACATCACTTTCATTCTTGGTGGACATTGGTGATCATTGGTCATCACATTTAGACAATTAATTGCTCACCGTTTTTTTCAAATGTGTAGATTTCATAACGCAGATGTGTAACATGTAACTATTTCTGTACCAGACAATCACTTTCTGAGCAACAATATTTCTACGTTTTCATGCAATGTGAAAAAAAAAAAACCAGGCTTAACAATAGAATAATAATACAGATCTGTAAGACCAGGGACTTACTGAGTGACAAATCTCTAGAGATGCCTATTCTACATATCTATTACTGTAAATATTTGAGCCATGACGTTCCATCATCCTGCGGTCCTGACTTTCTGTGTCATTGTTCTACAATTCATTTCTTCTATATGGTGCTCATTATACAGTTGTCTCAAGCACATGTGCTTCTTATAACTCCCGTCTCCCTCTGACATCTGTTTCTCAGACATAGTCATAGAGTGTGTGTGCTAATCCCACTGATGTTTCTGAAAAACTGCATTGACTTCTATTGCTCACTGTTATTTGGAAACTCAATAGCATCCAACTTTCAATAGGGAACCATAATCTATAGGTTTTGGCATACTACATGTAATCAGAGCATGCTTAAAAAGAAGTACTCTGCTAACCCCATAATGTACTCCAAATGCAGATTTGTAAAAACATGGTTTATGTGTATTATGGTTTATTCAAAAAGCCACGATACAAGAAAATGTAAAACGCAGGTAGAACGGGTACATAGAACTCGCATATCTAATAGACAAATAAGGCCATGCAATGCTTGCAGCCCTGGAAGTGGTTTGACATATCCAAATTGAACACTAAATGGCTTCATAACCACAAAAGGTGGAACAAAAAGGTGCAAAAAGAAACTGATAGTCATCTACAGGGCAGAAAAGACACCCTTGTACACTTGTTTCCCGTATATAAAGTAACTACATAGAGTAGGGTGTTTCATAGTAGGGCCTACAAGCGAGACCAAATTAGAGAAAAATATTAGGTAAACAACTGAACAGAAGGGTGGGCACAAGGATGGGGAGACGGGGTGGGGAGTTGGGGGCAGGAAGGGGACATGGCAGAGGGAAAGGGATTTTCCCATAGAGGGGGTCGAAGGGTTAAAAAAGGTAACTCAGATTGCGAGAGAGCGCATTGAGATAAACGTCAGTAAAAACAAAGTATTGCCAGGTTGACTAAAGGGTCTCTTTCATACTACGCAGGGTAGTTGTAAGATCTTCAATGTTCCTAATCTAGTTCACTTTGGTGAATCAGAGAGAGTTGATTGACGGGTGTGTGTCCTTCCACCAAAGCAGAATAAAAGCCTTCATCACATTCAATAATTGAATGGTCAAAGCGGACTTATATTTCCTGGTGTGTCTTTCGGTCAAATGCAACAGGCAGGGCACCAGGTTGTTGTGTAAATCTACAGACATAAGTTATTTTATAATACTTGTCGCCTCCTGCCAAAAGGTTTGTATTTTCAAACATTGTCAGAATATATGGAGCATAGTGCTACTGTCCTTACCATATCTCCAGTAAGTGCTTGAAATTTGAGGAAAGGCTTTGCGGAAAACAGTAGGGACCCTGTATCACCTTGTGAGGATCTTGCAGCTCATCTTCTACAGCCTAGTAGCAATGGAGGACTTTTGGGGAAAGTGAAGGATCTTCTCCGTTTGTTGAGCTGAGAATTAGGTGTCTAGGTTCGATGCCCATTTCAACAGAAAAGGAGGAGTATAGTCGGGTTCTGGACCTCTAAACCTAAACCTATTATCTAAACCTACAGACTAAGGAGGTTTAGATAATGGATAGGCAATAACTGATTAAATCACCCCTTTGACATATTTTCTCAAACTCTGTGAGGGGACATGTGATATCTTTCTGCTTAGAGAGCTTGTGAAGAAAATGATGCTGCTGGAAGCCATTCCAAAAAGGTCCACGGGGGGTGGATCCACCAATTGGGTTAGATCAGTTGAGAGAAGGCATGTCATTGCATGTCAGAGAGTCCATCAGAGAGGAATAGCCACAGGACAGAAGGTGGTAAAAATGTATGTTATGTAGACCTTGGGTGAACTCAGGGTTGCCGAAATGGGCACGAAGGTGAAGGTAGCAGTGAGACAAGTGTGCAGTAGCAGATTTTTCTGGAGACTGTCACTGTGTTACCTAGAGTAGGATGGTTACTGAGCTCAGCGGGCAGGGGAGAAGTAATCTAGGAATGGTACAGTCAGGCAGACTGAATCCATTGATAGCCTCTTTCCATTCTGAGACTTTTTACGTTGGCCGTAGAAGTTTAGGAAGCAATATTTTCTGGATGTCTGAACTTGGAACCTTCTGGGCTTTTGGGAGGTCAGAGCTCAAAACATTTTAGCTACTTGTTCCAAAGACTTAGCCTTATGTGAACCTCACTCATCCCTAGTGGAATTCTGATGCAAATTTATGTAGCATTATGTGCACAATGCCCATATGTTTGCCATCTGCAGCAATAAAACAGTTCTGTTTTACGTGTGTCATCATAATTCCTTTCTTCTGTTATATCTTTCACATTCCAGTCCATGCCACATAAAATACCAGGAATGCCTGGCTGTGATTTTTTCCACCTGCATACCTCAGTCTTAGTCCTCTGTTACTTTAGCATTATTTAATTCATTGACTTTCTTACACAGGATTCTGCCCTTTTCTGAAGATCTACCAATCCATGCAGCTGGTCTACACCTCTGGGATCTAGTAGGTTCAGCCCATCAGTTTCAGTGTATTTCCCCACTGTTTTTTAACTCTAGCTTGATCGCATATTAATTATACAATAATTGTATTGTATATCAATTATACAAAATTATACGTCAATGATAAAGTAGTCACATGGAATGAGCAGTATTTTCCTACTTTATTGTTATTGCTGGGGTTCATCTTCTTTTCTTTTTTTAAGCCTAGCAGATGGCAAAAGTCAGAGGCGACAACTGTGCATAAGTCTGGAGCCAGCCTTGTTGCTTAAAGGTGATATCATGGTATGTACCATAGAAGAACAGTAATCTGCTACACAAGGGAAGTGTAGGGCCACTGCTCATAATAACCAATCAGGTTTTGACTTTTATTACCAGTCCTGCTTTCAGAATCTGTAACATGTGATTTGGTTACCACTTTAATTTCCTCCTGTATTTAGAATTCTGTACATCTGTGTTTGTCTGGGTTGCAAGCCAAGTGCACCTGTAATTGTAGTTATTTTTCCAGCCCACTGGGACAGAGAATTATTAAAGTTGCGGCAACTGCAAACCTGGTTCTGATGTTTCTGGGAAAATCACATGATCTATGGTTTTCAATTTAATATTTGCACACTGTGAAGTAACAGCTGTAACATCTGCTGGTAAAACTGAAACAAGCACACGTTTCTCAAGCTGAGATATAATATCCTGTCCGCTATTCTAAAATATGATGTTAATGTCTGCTGGAGTTTAGAGAAAGGTATGGGGCACCAAGGACTTAATAATGATGTTTATCAAGCCAAACCAGACAAATATTAACCTCACTAGACTAGACTGTTGTATGTGTGGTTCAATGAGGATTTAGCAATTCCCAACACTCTCTTCATCATGTTATATAAACCTTGACATGCATAGATGGTGCTGGAAAAGTAGCCTTCTTCTTTTTGGTTCTTGGATAAAAATAATTTGACCCAAAGTGATATTTCTTCATAGCAAATCAGTTGAAGTGTATGTATAGCCACAACCTTTTCATATAGTTTTGGATAGTGTAGAGCAGCCTTTTTCAATCAGGGTGCTTTGAAGTTTCTTCAGGGGTGCTTGTTAAAATGCCTAAAAATTGCCCCAAAAATTGTATACAAGCCAGCAAGTGGATCAAGCCTGCCTTTTAGTTACACAAAGCTACAGGTTTTCATTGTGCACCATTACAACCTTCTAGCCGCCGGCATCCTAACAACCAATGATGCCATCAGTTGACATGGAGGATGTCGGTCGCCTGCACGGCATCCTTGTTTGACCCTCTCCTTCCCATTTTTTGTCAGTAATGAGGTCAAATTAGCTGAGTGATAGAGAAAATCTGAGAGAGAAGAGAAATATTGGAATACTATTCAGTATCAATGTCCTTGTGCAAAAGTGTGTTTGCTTTGGACAAATATATCCCCTCTAACACTGGGTGTCCTACATGTGTGGGTGTTGTTGCATTATGTAACACTATTAGAATAGTTTTTTTTTCATTTTAGAATGGGGTGCCTTGAGACTGTCCATAATTTTAAAGGGTGCCTCAAGATTGTTCAAAACGTTAAAGGGTACCATGATTCTAAAAAGGTTGAGAAACACTGGTGTAGAGAAGGGTTAACACCCCTGTCTGTGTCCCATTGGGGAGCTCTTTCTATCTTGTAGACATGATTAACCTTTTGGAACAGGTGTCCCCTTTGGAAGATTTGCCCTAACCTTTTTTTTTGGTGAAAAATCTAAAAATTTGGATTTCAGATCACCTTGTTTTTGGCGATAATGTTCACAAGATAACATAACACAGGATAACAGAAAAGGAGGGGTATAGATCGGTTCACACCTTTGACATATTTTCTCGAACTCTGTGACTGGTTGTGTAAAGCCTTTCTGCTAAGAGAGTTTGTGAAGAAAATGGTGCCTGCTGGAAGCTATTCTAAAAGTCTAAGCGGTGTGGCCGTCAAATGGGTTACGTCAGTACAGAGGCTGTCATCGTGGGTCAGAAAGTCCATCAGATGAAAATAGCCACAGGACAGAAGGTGGTGAAAAGGTGTGTTATGTAGACCTGGGGTGAACTCAGGGTTGCCGAGAATGGGCATGAAGGGTGAGGGGAGCAGTGAGACAAGTGTGCAGTGAAAGATTGACATGCATAGACGATGCTAGAAAAGTAGCCCTCTTCTTTTTGGTTCTTAGATAAAAATAAACTGACCCAAAGTGATATTTCTTCACAGCACATCAGTTGAAGTGTATGTATAGCCGAAACCTTTTCTTATAGTTTTGAGAAGGTAGAGAAGGGTTAACACCCCTGTCTATGTGCCATTGGGGAGCTTTCCCTTTCTCTTCCTATCTCGGAGACATGGTTAACCTTTTGGAACCAGTGTTCCTTTTAGAAGATTTCCCCTTACTTTTTGTTTTGGTGATAAATCTAAAAGTTTGGATTTTCGATCACCTTCTTTTTTGGTGATAATATTCACAAGACAGAAACTTTAACAACATTTTCCATTTGAGTCAAGAACAAAAGGTCCAGTCCTTAGATGTGGAATCTGTAAGTTTTTATATTTTCAAGCTTTTTATCCTTTATTTTCACCTGGGGATCCTGTCAGTAACACACTGGATAGGACTACAAACACCTCCTTCTCTTCTTTTCCTTATAACATAGAGGACAAGGGAGGTTATGTACCCCTCAGAGAGAGCTACAATTTAATCGATAAGAATGCATCACAGGCAGAGAGCACGGACAGTTATCAGCTGACAACATTTCTGGCAGGATTGACAGGTATTTTTTACACTTATCAAAAACATATAACAAAACACTTCCAATGGTTTATTTACCAGATCAAATAGGAGCACATAAGAGAAGCCAATTGTTAGTGTGTACATACACTTTAAGTAATTAGCTTGTTTTTGAAAAATAGAAGTTGTGGCTTGATTTACAATAGTAGAATCTGCAGCCTGGTTCTCCTACTCAATAATGGCTGATTTTGTAATAAATATAAGAAAATTTGACTTGCTGCACCTAACCTGTTTAAAACGCAAATGATTTCTTCACTTTTAGTTCAGTAGTGTGCAACCAGTTGTAGCTCATGGGTACCTGTAAGCAGGGGCGGACTGACCATTTGGAAACTCAGGCACTGCCCGAGGGTCTGGGGTCAGTAGGGGGCCCAATGTGATGCCCCTGGTACCTTTTTCATAGGCTTTTTTGAGTTTGGGCAAGGACACAGGGGCCCCATGATCCCCTATTGCCCGGGGGCCCCATGAGTTGTCAGTCCGCCCCTGCCTGTAAGCTATGTAGCAAGTCAAATTCACTGCTAGCTTTCATAAAACTGTCAGCCACAGAAGAGCAAGGAAGATTCCCGTGGTAATACAAATAAATTTTTGATTAAAGTAGATTGAAACTGAAGCTGGAAGACATTTGGTTTGTTTTTAGCATACTGTTTAATAAACAACTGCTATACCTTCCCCTTATACCCATTCACCTTTTTTTTCGTCTTTTTTGTATTCAAGTGCTGTTGATCTCTTTAGTCACTTCCTGTCTACATGCACTCGCTCGCCAATGTTACTGGCATGTCACAAAACACCTAAGCATTTGGGTTTTTAAGGCACTGGATATCAAATAAATCACAACCATATATCAACATATTTAATTTTATGTTTACATAATATAAAAAATAAATTGTGTAAAGCACAATAAAGCAACACCTCCTACCACTAAAATTGTGATAAACATTGTGATTGGTGTACCCAAAGCAAATATGCCACCCTCTACAAATTTATTGCATTATAACTCAAGGTAACCAACATTTTTGTCCCAAAAATGGGCCATATTAAATGCTGTAGACAAAGAAGAGGTAGGAGAAAAGAAGGGTCACGGATGAGCTCTGCGTGTTTCGCAGCCAAAGCCACTTCATCAGGAGAAATACATATCAGAATTCCTAATTCAATATATGCAGTAAACAGTAAAACTATATCTTTATAATCTGTTACTGTATAGATTTACTGTTCTGTATTCTATAATTACAGCTTCTGATATGTATTGCTCTTGATGAAACGGCTTTGGCTGCAAAATGCGTGGAACTCATCAGTAACCCTTCTTTTCTTTCCCTTCTTCTTTGCAAAGTCTACTGTTTCACAGAATTATATATGGGCAATTTTTGGGACAGAACAGTTGGCTGCCTTAATTTATAATTCAATAAGTTTGTAGAGGGTTGGATATGTGCTTTGGGTACTCCAATATCACTGATTATAAGAAACATTTTTTAAAGGGCTGTAGGTGTTGTTTTACGTACAATTTCTTTTTTTATACTATTTATAATCATATGTTGATATATGGTTGTGATTTAATTGAATCCTGTGCCTTAGAAACCCAAGGGCTTAGGTTTAGTGATTGTAACTAATAATAGGATGTGTCACCTTTTATACCGCCTGCAGTTTGGGTTTATGTTAGCGGCACATTCTTGCTCTGGACGAGCTTCCAAGGCAGACCACTGTGTGCCAGCCCAGCCCCTTGTTGTGGGCCAGAGGCACATATGGCAGAGTGACAAAGCAGGAGCTGTACTGGGAGACACATAACTGGATATTTCTTTAGTAAAAGGTGATTGGGTTTAGTTTGACTAACAAAGCCCATAAAACTGCAATCATTTTGTAGTGTGACTGAATATGGCCAGTAGGGTGAGAATAATCTTATTTCTGTATTTCTTTACTCTTGATTGCTTCTGATGTCTATACAGCTTAGTCTGCAGGTGGGATTAATAAGCAGCATTAACCTTTGTGTGTTTCACAGGTGAAATGTTATCACAAGCGTTGCAAGCCTCATGAGAGAGAAGTGCTCTTCAGACTTCAGTTCCATACATGCACCATTCACAACACACATCTGTGCTTCAGCAAGGACCAGCTGGACTGTGCTTGCACAGGTAAGGAGGAGCATCGTATGCAGTGCAGTTACAAATTGTCTCCAGACCTCTGCAATAATGGCTGTACAAGGGCTGATCTTTGCAGTGAGCAGTGGATAGTGTGAGATATACTATTATGAATCATTGATATGATCTACTCTTCCTTCCTTGACTTAATTTCATGGCCAGCGTTGGCTGCATAGGGTGGAGGGCAGTTTCCTGTTCTGTGTAAAAAAAAAAGGAACTATCACTAATCAATCATGAATATTCCACCGTTATGACAATAAACACTTATATGCTCATTAACTTGCAGAACCACCAAATTTATTCTCAAAACCATTGCATGTTGTGTGTATAGTCATCTCAGGTACTCTATCAAACAAGATATGTGAGAAAATGTAAATGTAGCCTAATTATTATTATACAGGATTTATATAGTGCCAACAGTTTGCGCAGCGCTTTACACAATGACGGTAGACATTACAGTTACAATACAATTTGGTACAAGAGGAAACAGAGGGCCCTGTTTGTTAGAGCTTACAATCTAGAAGGAAGGGTTGAATTAATTAATTAATGATGTTTTGATAGCTTTTAGAATAAATCCACCTGTTGCCTGAACATTTTGTTATTCAAGCACTGCCTGGAGCACCCAATCAACACTTACTAGTGGCAAGCACCCCCAATACATTGCTGCACCCTAACCCATCGGGATGATCTTTCAGGTGTACAATGACAAGTTAGCATCACTTAACCTTGGCCCATTCAGGAGCTAGGAGAACCGGTGACCTGGCTTCAGTGACTTCACACTTACAGTATATGGCACCCAACATTCAGGAAAAGAATTAAGCTGGCAACTTGGTGTCATCCAAATGCTTTAGACTTTATTGGCTACATAGTCAATGCAGTGCAAACATGCTAATGTGTTTTGGACTTCAGGCCTTAATCATAGCAATGATTAAGGCCTATCAGCCAAAAACGAGTCAGCTTGTCCACACTGTATTAATTATGTAGCTAATCAACTCTACTACGCTTTGCCAGCAGGATTCTATTCGTGGATGTTGGGTTCCGTATAAGTGTGGCGTCACTGAAGCCAGGTCACCTGTTCTCCTAGATCCTGAATGGGCCACGGTTGAGCAATGCTAACTTGTCATTGTGCACCTGTCAGGTGTACCTGTGCATTGTCATGTGGGGTAGGGAGAGTGTATATGTTCAGATAGTGATCATGAAAAAGTCTGTATTTGTATATCTTTTTTTTGAGAAATCAGTGTCAAAGAGTTGCTTGAGGGCTGAAAACTGTAGAAAAGTCCCACCAACTGACTTGGAGATAAGAAAAAACATTGAATTCATTACTTTCAGCCAAAGGCCAAATGCACTGGGATTGGAAACACATGGTGGGGGTAGATGTACACATAGTGATTAGGGTTTATGTACACGTTCAGTTTACTAACTAGGGACTTTTGTCAGCAGTATTATTACGTTTAGCATTTATACATTTCATCATCCCACCACATGCTGTGCAAAACATATTAAAGCTCCATCTGTCTACTGTAATAAGATAAAGTCACTTATCTCAGTCCTAGGTAAAGAAATGGACAACTTTGAATCATGTTTTATGTCCTTTTTAGTTCTGGTGTTATAAAACATGGAATGTAAAATTCTGTTCACTGTGACATTCGTTTTTTCTTATATTTTAAGTGCTCATTGATTGAAACCAGTTGCGTGTGTCTTGGAACCAACCCAAGTCTAATATTGCAGTTCTTTAGCATAGTAGCTATATTCTTTTTTTTTTTTAACTATTAGATGGAAGATTCCCGGAAGATGCAGTTGTTGAGCTGATCTTTTCCTCTGCACAGGACAAGGGAAAAGGTGAGTGAGAATGGAATTTTCTAGCCCGACTGATGTATGTACACTTTTTTTATACCTTTATAAAAGCAGTGTGTTCCAAATACCCCATGATGTATGGCCTCCAAAAAATCTATGTGCTGTAGCTGATCTATGCCCTGCTGTGATTTTTAAATTAGTTTCCTGGCTGTTAGGTTGACACCTTTGCTGAATATGCTGGATGTCAAGCTGACCCTTTGGCTAAAAATGTTATCTGTCTAGCTGCTAAACTAACCTTCTGCTCTGGTTTTGTAACCCAGGACAGTTGTACAGGAAAGTCAAAAGTTCAGATTTAATGCATACTTGTTCTAGGTTACTGACTCAAAGTAATAAAGCTAGAGGGTCAGCCTGAAAGCTAATTAACTGGTGTTTGCAGCATATGTCAGCAATTGCACCCTCCGTGTTTCTCTCATAAAAGGTGAAACGTTATCCTGTAATTAGGCTGGAGTTCTCCTTTAAGGGCTTGTTTACACCAGAATCCCTGAATGCATTATGCAGTTCCGTGTGTGCATTTGTAATTTATTTCAGTGTATTTTTGTTGCTTTTATTGTGTATTTGTGGTACTTTTGTAGGCATTATTTATGTTTTTTTTTAATGAGTTGTATTCACATGTGTTTGCAATGGATTCATGTACATTTACATGCTTTCCAGTACAATTTATGTGAAAAAAAGCAGCATAATGTGCTTTTTAAGTGCACATAAAAACATCATAATTATTGAAACTAGGCTCATTGAAATACATTAATTTTTTGTATATGTGTTGATACTGCATAGAAAAATGCTTTAGTCTGCATCTGGTGTAAGTGAGCCCAAAAGGAAATATCTGACTTGGTTTATCCTACTTCAACTCACTGCCTTAAGACCCACAATGACATACTGTATATCTCGTCCCCCCTACATTTTTGTACTGACCTTTGTGGCATGTGACTTCTTAAACATCTGGCTCACACCTACACAGCACTTCAATGTTATGTCTGCTTGCCTTCCTGCTGGTCCTCTAACTTATTGTTATATCTTCCCTGGTCATTAAAGGGCGAGATGTAATCCGGAAGGATCCCAGCATTGCGGTTGATTATGACATCACTGATCCATTAGTACGTTATGACTCCTATGAAAATCTCAATGTTAACCATGAGGATAGTCTGGAAGGTGAGTTGACCGTTTGCGTAATGTAAGCTCTTAGCAGAAGCGTTTCACCTATAGCACAGGGGGCTCTTCAATTCAGTGTCTGTCATGTAGTTTACCCCGGAGGGATAGATTTAAAGGATTAGTCATTTCCTTTGAAATGATTAGTAAGTGAGCAGAGGTTTGAATTCAGGTTAATATTATGGTGACCTTATGTTACTGTGGGCTTTAAATAAAACAATTTAATTTTTTAAGCAATTGAAGTCTTTTATGTTTGTGTGAGTAATATTAATGATTCAGTGGGAAAGGATGAGACTGGAAAAATATGTTTCTTGTATACGTACAGCTGAACTCCATACAGAAATACTTTGCTTTAAATATATTGTTTTATAGGCACAAAGGGTATGCATTTTATAGGCACTCTGTATGCACGAAATTCCTTAGCAAACCCAGACTACCTTTGTAAAGTAACAGTAATGGTGACATTATCATTGCACTGCACATAATCTGCACAGAGGACATACTGTATCTGTGTATGGCCTACACCTCCCCCCACCCCCAATAAATAAATAAATCCCTCCAGCACAAATAATCATTACCCCCCCCAAAAAAAAAAAAAAAATAGGCACACATCTTTGTTGCCAGTTTGTCCTTCCCTCCTTCCCCAAGTCAAAGCATAGCAGAATGCTATGGGATGTCCTTGCCCCCAGGATCCTCCCTCGCTGTGTCATGTGACATGTAGGAGCCTAGGGGCAGCTGCCTTCAGCCCTGAAGTCAATCATTCTGACAGGCAGCTGAGGGGGAGAGATGCCAGCTGCTGCAGTGGGGGTGATCCTAGGAGGGTAGGTGTCCTGAGTACATGGCTCTAAAGACACCACGGATGTGAGACTACTCCAAAAAAAAAAAATAATTAGGCACACATCTTTGTTACCACTTTCTCCTTCCCCAAGTCAAAGCATAGCAGAATGCTTTGGGATGTTCTTGCCCCCAGGCTCCCCCCCTCGCTGTGTCATGTGACATGTAGGAGCCAAGGGCAGCTTCCTTCAGCTTTGAAGTCAATCGTTCTGACAGGCAGCTGAGGGGGAGAGATGCCAACTGCTGTAGTGGGGGTGACCCTAGCAGGGTACGTGTCCTGAGTACATGGCTCTAAAGACAACACGGATGTGAGACTATTCCTATTTTTGTTTTCGAAACAATCATATACGTTTATATTTGGCCAGTTTTACTGTGGTTGGAGTTTAGGTTTTCTGTATCATAAAATAATGATAACCAATCATGGTCCTTAGTAATTGATCCCAAACAAGGTATTGTTAACTGTTTAGTTGGCCATAGACATGAGTTTTTTGGAGGTAGACTCAATAGATCACTTGGTCTTTTTTTCTGTCTTCATTCTTTTGTGTTTCTATGAGTTTAGCAATTTAGCTGTTGGACAGATATGCTCTTGTCTTACACACAAGCTTGGTCATATATGTTTGCACATAAATCTTAACCCATACTAGCATCCCTTTTTTGTGGTATGTGGGGGCCATGGGTAGAAAACATTCTACTGTAGATGTGTTTTTTTTTTTTTAACTGGAGAGGCTCAATAGATTAAGCACATACAGGGTTCATGAGTATTTGATAAATTCCACAATCACAGGTCTTACCAGGATTGTATTAACTGTGGGTGCATTAACTCAATGCTACAAATGTCTCTATATTCCGAGAGAAATATAGTATTTTTTTAAGTATTGTATGAAAAATTCAAGAAATAGCAACATGTTGAAATGTTACTTGGATGACTAAATATACGACTATTTAAACTGTAGAATTAACAGTGTTGTGGTGTATTTGGATCTGTACACACTGCATGTGGAATATACATTTTTAGATTATCTCTGTGAAATCCTCTGTAATAAAATCTATTTGTTGCAAGGATTTCAGTGGAATAGTTCATAGTTGTTTAATATATTGACTGAGGATCCTATGGGTTCCTTGGTTTTTTCATATGATTTGGGTCCAGTGCACCCAAGCTTTTGCTTGGCATCTTCTACACAGTTCTGTTAATGACATGCTTATGATTATGAGCAGGAAAGGTTTAACAACAAGGCGGATTATTCATTCGATTTAAAACACACAGGAGCTCATGCTAAGGTCACAGAATCATCTGATACTTTGGTAGAGCATTTTCAGACACTAAACAGAGCTTCCTTTTCATCCATTGTGCACATTCACTATACAGCACATGTTGAAGGATCTCCCTATTGCTGCTTAAAGCTGAACTTCACTCTCTCAATCAACATTGATTATTTTTAAGCCTTATGCTACTAGCATTAGTAAATAGATAGGAACGTATATCCTATTTATTTCTATTATTTTTTTCTAAAGTTCCTTCCAGGTTTCCAGGCCAAGGAAAATTATGTGATACATCCCAGGAGTCTTCAGGAGGGGAGGAGGGGTTTTGTCAGCTAAGCACACCCTCTTGCACACCCTCTTGCCTGCATGTCAGAATTAAGAGCAGATAAATTTAAGAAGTAAAAGCTTCATGAATCATCTGCCCTTATTCAAGATGGCCAGAAATGTTAGGGCATGTTTTTCAAAGTAAATTCTCAGCAAAATAAAGCATGGAGACATAGCTGGAATTTAAAAATAAATTCAATAGCGCTTTTGGCTTACGGTGCTCATAAGCAGTGTAGTTCTGCTTTAACAACATTGCCTTAAAAGTAAAAGTTACTTGAATGCAGGACAAAAACAAATCCAACTGTCCAGTTCGATAGAGGCACTCATTTCCAATTTTGTGTGTTATTATGCTGAATGTATTTTGCCTAGTTTGTCGACTGCTTTTAGGTTTGTCTATTAGTATTCATAACAACATCAAACATTCTTACTATTTACTTTCATCATATAATTGATTATGTCTGTGACTTCTTAACTTTCCTCTGTTGTTTTTCTCTTTTCTTTATATCTTTTTCTCTCTTTGCATAGATCTTAGTCATACTCGTGGCCCGTTGGATGGAAGTCTGTATGCCCGAGTGAAGAAGAAGACAACACCATTGACATCTGCTAATGGAAGTCCTGAGCAACATGGGCGTCTTTTGTCTGTCAGCAGTGACTCTGGCCATTCTTCAGCTGCTACAGAAAGGTTGGAGGAGACTCCACAAAAAATATTACCAACAGCTTCTGAGAGAGAAGACCTAGAGAAACTTCTAGGTGGTTTTGGAGTCAGTGTAAAACAGGAGGCTGAGCCCCAGTACTCTCAGGTTCTCAGGCACAAGGAAGTGGTAACTACAAATGCACACCAGAAGCAGAATTTAGAAGGAAGACATCAAAATGTACGGTATCAGGTTAGTCAGGAAGTGACAAGCCAGAACATTCAGCCAAACATTAACGGAGAATCAAAACTTCAGTATTCCCCTCCATGGTCTGCAATGTCTGATGAAGCAGCATCTCAAAGTTTGCCTTTAACACCCCCATCCTGGGAAGAACAGAGGGAATCCCCTTGTGAAAATCCTTGGGAGGGCCAAGCAGATCGCGAGACAGCCATTCTGGAAGAAGAGATGGGACAGATTGGTGGCCTAGCTATGTTTCCAGGAAGAAGGCCTTTATTATCTAGACACTGCTCCTGTAGATCAGGATATGCAGGTCCCAGTATTGAGGGACCTCCTAACAGGTCCTACTTCAGAACAGAAGGCATCTTTGATTCCCGTGGTCCACCAGGAACAAGTGCCATACTGCAAGGTGTTCACTATCCAGGCATATATGGGGAACAAGAGCGAAGGAGGCTGTATCGCTCCTTGTCTGAAGGACCTCAACATTATCCAAATCAGACACAAAGTCCACCAAAGAGAGGTAGTCTCAGAGAAAATCGTCAGTACATGTGCCAGCCTCCTGCTCATGAACCTGTTTTGCCACCTATGTGCCCCTGTTCTCACTGCCAGAGTTCACCTTGCTACCCTGTGCCAAATTTGTGGCCCTTGGATGGAGGGAAGATGCCACCAGTTCAGCATTTTCATCGAGAGCAACTGCCAATACACCTATCACAGCCTTATGGACAACCCAACCATGATATTCTACCTCCCTTTCAGGTTCCCTCATCTAAGATGCACTATGGGTTCCCCATCCCTCATAATGAAGATTCTTTGCATTATAACCATTACTCAGATGCTGGATATGCTCATGCTTATCCACATTTCTTGCACCCTTCTTATCTTCCTACTCACTGTCCACCTAATGGTTATGGTGCCCATTCCTTTCCCACATGTATGTCTTCCTATAACCAACCTGGAAGTCCGTCTCCTCCAACTTCCGTGTCTCCCATTGTCCCTTCCTGCTCTGACCCTCGGAGAATGAGCAGTGACACCATGTCAGCAGGTAGTACTGGCGAATTAACACCACCACAACAACAACCAAAAGGTGAGTAGAATGAAACAATCCTTATTAGAAATATATTAAAACAACTCTTTACTTTGCCACTTTTTACAGAAACTCTGCTTCTAGGGACCTAGTTTGTCACTGACATATTGCTTCCTGCTCAGCCTAAAGAAGGTAAAGCCAGGCTGCTGATAATCATAGACAGAGAAAAGGACTTAGTTCCTGGCTTCAGGAAAAGTAATACTTTGCATAAAAACAGTGCTGTTTGGTCTGCATGATTTGGGGAAAGGAGGAGCACATTTAAAGCAGATTGTAAAGGTATCAGTATTTTAACATGCTTGGTGAATAGAAAGGATCATTCTAAGTAATTATTATTATTATTATAGTATTTATATAGTGCCAAAGGGTTTGCTCAGCACTGTACAATAGCACAAAAGTAATTGTTTTGTATGCCAGCTTCCAGCTTGGCCTTGAAAAAGACATCTGGGTATTTGCAGTGGTCTAATTGCCACAACTGTTTGGTGGCTGTCATACAGTATATTGACTATTTTAAACTAGAAATTCGGTTTTCTTGTCAAAGATTACTTTA